GCCTGTAGTCCTAGCTACTTGGGAGGCTGAGGCAAGAGAATTGCTTAAGCCCAAGAGTTTGAGGTTGCTGTGAGCTGTGATACCATGGCACTCTACCAAGGGCAACAGCTTGAGACTCCATCTGAAAAAAAATTTAAAAAAGAAGAACTTCTTTGACCTCAGAACGCCACCTTCTCCCCCAAAAAATAAAAACATAAATTTATTCTTTGACTCTCACAGGACTGCGGATGGCTTGGATCATATAGTCATCCCTGAACCAAACATGGAGCCCAGAGAGCTGGAATGCTCTAATCAACAGGTCTGACCGCAACAGGAGAAAAGGTCAATCAGCTTTTGAGATAAATAAATGAAAAGACCATGAAAGGCCACTACTATCTTTTTGGTTTCTCTCTAGGAGGAACTCTGTCTGTGGAACTAATAGAAAGGAAGAGGCCACCATATATCTGCTTTGAGCTTCCCAGTTTACAAAATACTTCTGTTGCCCCATTTCATCCTCACTGCCAGCCCCTGAAGCAAATGGCATCACTATACCCTTTATACAGATGAGGCATCTGAGATTCAGAAACATTAAGGGGCCTGGGTAAGTCAAAAAGCAATTAAGGGACCAATGAAAGAGCTGTGGAGAGGTTCGTGCAGAAAATAGAACAAGAAGACAATAACCCCAGACGACTTCCTTTGTGTGTCACGCTCCTCCACCTCACTCGCCACCACATCCCGCCCTCTATCTCAGCGCTGCAGCCCTGGGCCTCTCCCCCTTATCACTGTGATCCTGCCAGTTTCTGCCACACCTCCTGTCTGACCTTTGCTCCTGCACCAGGCTTGTTTTCCTCTGGGCCCAGGAACCTCTTGCTCACTTTCACTTACCACCTGCCTTTCCCTGTGCTTCACCATGTGCACGGGAAAGTGTGCCCGCTGTCTGGGGCTTTCCCTCATCCCCCTCTCCCTAGTCTGCATTGTGGCCAATGCCCTATTGCTGGTACCTAATGGAGAGACCACCTGGACCAGAGACCATCTCAGCTTGCAAGTCTGGCTCATGGCAGGTTTCATCGGAGGTGGCCTGATGGTGAGAAGGCTGGCAAGGGCAGAGGGCTGGACACCACTCTCAGGGGCTCTGAACAGCAGGGAGAGGGAGAGAAGGAAAGGGAAAAGGATGGTTCCCTGGGAAAGGATGGCAATGGTTCAGTAAGACAAGGAACCTGCCTGGTCCTCTCCTATACACTAGGAGCTCTTTGGGTCCCAGGCTGTATGTCTAAGTGGAATGGGCAGGAAGAGAGCCTCACTGCTCTAAAGAGCTTCCCGACTGGGTAGGGAGCATGTCCTACCTGTTACTCCCCACCCCTACTGTGAAGCAGGTGCTGGGGCCACCTCACTATAAGGATTGGGGCAGAAGGAGCAGCTGGTTCTGTGAGATTTCATCAGGGCAGGATAATAATAAGCATGGTGGGTTGAGTGCAGTGAAAACTCTAAAGCTGGCTTGGTGTCTGTAGCTCAGCAGCTAGGGAGCCAGCCACATACACCAGGTCTGG